GGCCTGGGTCGTCTCACTCACTCGCTGGGCCTGCACTCCGGGTCTATTCAGGATCCCGCGGCCCGCAGTAATTTCACCTGGAATTTGTCTTCATAAGAGTACTTGGAGTACTCTGCTCTATGCTCTTCTTGCCTTCATGGTTTGTGAAGAGAAGTTTGCCATAATTTTCATGGGTTTTCCCTAGAGGATTTTTTCTCTAGAGGATTTCAGGATATTATTCTTGTGCTTGAATTCTGTTGTCTTGACTATTAAATGTCTAGGTGTGTTTTTAATTGAGTTGAAGCTATTTGGCATTTTGTATGCTTTGGTTACCTGAATGTCAGATTGTTTCCTTATATTTGGGAAATTTTCTGCTATTACTTCTACCCATATTCTTTTTATATCATTCGTATTGACTCCTTCTTCCTCACTGATACCTATTAGTCTCACATTGCTCATCTTTGCATTGTCTTGCAGGTGATGGATTAGTTTTTCCTGCATCCTAGTTGTTTTTAAGAGATCCTTTCTCACCTTTTCACTAGCTGTACAAACATCTTCAAGATCTGAAACTATGTCTTTGCTTTCACTAAAATGGTTTTCCAGGCTTGTAATTGAGATTTTTAAGTTCCTCTATATCTCTTTGACTCTGCTTCATGTGATCTATTTCTTTCCTGTATTGCTCATTCAAGGAATCCATCATATTTCTAATCTGCTTTATTTTTTAAGTCAATTTTATTTTTAGAGGCAGTTATTAGTTCTTTTATTGCAGATTTTTTTTTCAGATTGGGTTTCCTCCATATGTTTACATATTTGATTCTTTACTGCAGATGGTATGAGTTTAGAGATTTCTTTTTTAATTTCAGGAATTATTTCTGCTCTGATTTTCTCTATACCTTTCTGCTGTTGTTTCTTTACTTGTGACACTGTTAATTCATACCTTGCATCTGAGCTAATGTCCTCTGCACTTGTTCTGGGTGAGCATTGGGTTTCCCCCTTATTTGTCTCCATTTGATTCTTTACTTTAGATGCACCAAATTCAGAGATTTCTTTTTTATTTCAGGAATTAATTCTGCTCTGAGTTCCACTATAACTTTCTGCTGTTGTTTCGTTACTTCTGACACTGTTATTTCATTCATTTCAGCTGAGCTAGTGTACTCTGAACATGTTATGGGTGGGCTCGAGACCTGAGATTGCATTTTGCTCCTTCTCTTTGTCATTTCATATAGCACTGACATCTGACCTTTGGTGTAGCGCTTTCTTGCAGTTATTACCTTAGCACCTACTGAAATTTGATTGCAGATTTATTAAGTTTGAGTTTTTCCAGTTATTCCTGGCCTGTGTCTTGCTTTTGTGTTCAGCTCGTTTCTGCTGCAGCCCTCAGAAGTGAACCTGTGGTACCCCTCTGTTGAGCCCCTGACCCAAGGAACACAGGGGAGCACAGAAGCTCTCTCACATACTACCCGCGTCTGGGCTGGGATGGTTCTGGGGGTCCAGGAGCATTGCAGAAATTCTCCCTCACTTCGTGGGCTTGGGGCAGGGGCGCTGGAGGGTTGCAGGGGTCCTAGTGGTGCGGAAAAGGGTCTCACTCACGCGAGTGCCTAAGTTTTGGTCTGGAGGTGTCTAGCTGACTCACGGAGGTTGGAAGCTCTCCTACGTGCTCGCTGTGCCTAGGCTGGGCTGGATCTGGGTGTCCCGAGAGTGTCGCAGAAGTTCTCACTCACTTGGTGGACTTCGGGGTTGGAGAGTTGTGATTATTTTAAAAGCCATTGTAGTGTGAAATTTTAGAAATTGCACTTTATGTTTTAGATTTCAGGCATGATGACATAGGATAGATGCAGATAGTACAGTGGTTACTAGCACGCAATATCTGTCATTTAACATAATTATTGTGATAAAAGCAGGTAAAATTGATAATTCTCAGTGAAAGCTTTACAATAGTTTTGCTAACTCTAACTTCATTTTGTGCAAGTCTCCAGACTTGTGTGCCCTATAAATCTCCTACTTTGTCTTCCAGCCTACATTTATCTGCTCATTTCCTCTATGAGGCTGGAAACCACTGCTTTGTTGTCTATTTCTACATAGTTGGAATTTTTCAGTGAAATAAGTTTAGTATCTAAATATATTTTCTTACATAGTCATCACTGTATATTCTTTATTCTAATTTTTATATCAATGTCATTTCATATCCCCTGGAAGTCTCTCCTCGTTTTGGTCCCACATTTCAATTTCAAGAAGGAAATGAGTAGACTAGAAATTTACACTTGGGACTCAGGTCAACAATTTCTGACATTGCCAGTCAAGCGGAAGACCCAATACTATTATGGGCTACTGGACTCTTTTAGAATATTTTGCTAAGTTTCCACACCTATAATATTCAAATAACAGAACTTAACAAAAAGAGGGTATACAGATGAATGTCCATCTTGTATCTGTGTATTCAATGTGGTTAGGATAGATATATAGTTGCATTCTCTTAATGAATAGAATGATTTGTTCTAATGGTGTTTGTAAATAGAATATCAAGTCTGCATTTTGTACAGCAATTAACCACTAAGAAGAATGTATGCAATGTTTTAATTATTGAAACTGTCCTACCGATTTGATTTACAACTGTCTCATTTCTATTTGTTTATCAATAAAATTATGGAAAAAAAGGAAAGAAAAAAAAGTAATTTACACTTGACCATTTTCAGAAAAATGAATTGAAAGATCCATTAAAAATGCTATGGTATTTTTAAAGGAGGATAGGATATTAACAATTGTTAATATGTTGTTAATTTTTACCTTTAAAGCATTTGCTCAGATTACCAGATATAGGCGTATAAAATTGATCAGATAATATAAGCACTAACTGCTCCTTTCAATGAACTAATAAAGCTAATAGTACAATTATCTTCAATATCTTCTATGTGTATATATAAATATATTCTTTCCTGTTCTTTTGTGTTTTTCTCCATCTCACGTCTTTCACTTTCAGCAGGTTCCTTCAATTTCAAAATATCTATTGCATTACCTATTTCAATTTCTTGCATTGGTGAGAAAATACCATGCTTACACATACATTATTTATTTTACTAATGAGTATGGTTTCTAATCACATTTCTTCACCTATAAAAATCTCAGTTAGTAATAGTTCAATCTTGGAAACAAGCCAAGTGTCCATCAACTGAGGAATGGATAAAAAAGCTGTGACATTTTTATATAATGGAATATTACTTAGCTGTATCTGAACTTTTATATATTCAGTAAATATCAAATAAACTATTCTTTTATAACCAGGGCCATATTTAGTTTTGGGAAGTTGAATCAAAAGTTTTTCTCCACTGAAATAAATCATATAGATCTGAGGATATATGAAATCATATATATTGCCCATTATCTCATTTATTTGTTTGTTTAACACTGGTAACCAAACAGAGCTTCATGCTTACTAGGCAAGCATTGTGCCACTGGGCTATACTCCCAGCATTTGGTTCTAACACTGGTGACAGTTTGATGTACAAAAAACATTAAACGTTTATATTAAAGGTATTCTGTAAGTGTAGAATGCTGCAAAGATACAATTTCCATGAAAAAATCCCTCTGATCTCCCTGTCTCAAGACTATCTAATTGTTCTTCATTTTCCCATTCCTTAGATGATAATCCCAAATCAGAAGTAGTCAATCTTCCCAGGGAGTGCATCAGGAATTTCTTCCCAGAGCACAACTGCTTTGTCCTTGATCGGCCAACAGATGACAAACATCGCCTACTCCATATTGAGAATATCTCAGAAGATGAACTGGATCCTGATTTTGAAGAGCAAACACGTAGCTTCTGTTCTTATATCTTCACTAATGCAAAGATCAAGTCCCTCAAAGAAGGAATTGTGATCACTGGAAATCGTGAGTCTTATTGGCATATTTCTGGATCAATTAGTGTATGTTGAATATATTATAAAATTACCATACATTATTTGTAATTATGCTACCATGATATTCACATATTTATATTCTATAAAGAGGTGGATACAATGTATGATGATCACATTCAATGAGGTTACAATTTCCATCCTCTTCCAAATTGTATACTTTTATACAAGTATGTGATTTGGGAAAAATCTTCCATTTGTGGACCAGAGAGATAGCTCAGTGAACTAAGTGCCTGCTTAGGCAAGTGCAGGGACTGGTGTTCAATCGCTGGCACCATATGCTGTGCTGAGTCTGCCCTCAGTCATGCTGAGCCAGCCACGAAGTCCAGTGAACTGGTGCACACCTTTAATCCCAGGCTGAAGGCTGAAAACAGCAGGATCACTATGAGTCCCAGCTGCACTGTGACACCCTGTACAGAAAGAAAATCTGCCATTTGTAATGAAATTACTATGTGAAAATAGATATAGACTATTTGCTCAGAGATAGCCCTGCATGGGACTGTTTCTTTGCAAGGAGAACAAGGAAAGTTTCTGTAAGCTTCAAGCACTCTAAATATAAATACTATTCCCTAAGATCCTGAAGATCCATTGGAAGCTTCAGAATTAGAGCAAATATACTCTGAGATTATTTAACTAATTGAACAGTTTTATGATCTCTTTCTCTTTCTTTTCTTTTGGAGAAGTGGCTTCCTTCTGCGAGATTTCTTTCTTTCTTTCTTTCTTTCTTTCTTTCTTTCTTTCTTTCTTTCTTTTTTCTTTCTTTCCTTCCTTCCTTCCTTCCTTCCTTCTTTCCTTTCTTTGTTCTTTCTTTATCTCCCACTCTCTTTCTTTCTTCTTTCTCTCTTTCTTTCAGTAATTAAATTTTCTGGTACATTTTAGGTATACCTAATCATCTCATTCATTGTAGGAAATATGTGCCAGTATATGATACATCATGATCTTTTTTTCCTATTCTCCATCTTGACTGAATGAGTCCATGTTCCTCTATTAACAAAACTTTTGTTTCCATTATTTCCTTTACTTCTCCTTTATCTATAAAGTTATAATTTAGAAATTTTGTTTTCCATGCATAATTTAATATATTAGATGAAGCTAGATATTAACTAATTTTTAAAAGCTTTGATACAGGGCTGGTGCTGTAGCTCAGCGTTTTATGTGACTTCCTGGCAAGTACAATGTCCTGAGTTCGATTCCTGGTTAAAAAAAGATAAGCCTAAAAGCCTTGAAGCAGAAATCAGTGGAAATGAGAGACTAAGAGGAGAAAAGATGAGAATAAGACATAGTTGTGCACGTGGGAAAGAGACAGAGACAGAGATATGTGATTTTAGGAAGGTAGTCCAATATTCTTAGAACCTACTGTACTCTCATGTTCTTATTTATCACCTAAAAATTCCGGCTCATTCAGGGCTGGGGTCTCTGGTGGAGACCTACGTGAAGGCCATCAACAGTGGGGCGGTGCCCTGTGTGGAGAATGCGATGACCACGCTGGCCCAGTTTGAGAACGCAGCGGCCGTGCAGAAGGCAGCTGCCCACTACAGCGAGCAGATGGCCCAGCGAGTGCAGCTCCCCACAGACACGCTCCAGGAGCTGCTGGACGTACACGCGGCCTGCGAGAAGGAGGCCATCGAGGTCTTCATGGAGAGCTCCTTCAAGGATGAAAATCAGGAGTTCCAGAAGCAGCTGGTGGTACTGTTTCTTATTCAATATTCATCATCTTTCCTCATTAATAAAGCCTAGAGGTGACTGTATTATGCTTGTGGGTTATTTCAAATTCCAAGGTAAACATTTTGAATTCTGAGAATGGAGTTTCTAAAGCTATATGTCAGTGCTTAAAAGAAAAATATAATCATCATGATCATCATAATAATAATCGTAACAATAAATCAACGCTTTATGCAGGATCTCTGTGTAAATGACACATAACCATAATAAATGCCCTCTTTAATACTTCCAGTGGGTTCTGTTAAAATTTCCATTAATTGCTTGCCTGTCCAGAAATGCTACTCATCCCTTGTGGTTGGCTTTTTCGATGTGCCATGTCCCGTTGTTGGAAACTTAGTTTCTCTTACAAGGTTATCCTTCCAGGGCATTGCTCATTGCTATGCATTATGGCACTAAGATACAACCAGAGGGGATCTAGCCGTAAGAAGCCATAGACATGGTGAAATTCAGCTCCTTCTCTTCAAGGACAAGCATCTCGGTGTCCTGAAAATTTCAGAGTTTCCTATTGTCTGTCAGAAGTTTTCAGTGATTTCAATAAGTCAAATTGTATGATTTCTCATTCATCATACATTTTACTAAGCTAGAATAATTTTGTTATAAAAAATAGGTTGAGATTTTTACTAGGTTCTCTGGGATGTTCCTTTCTTTCCCAGGCAGGTTGCATATCTGCACTTTTTCCTTGCAGAAAATAATTTTGGATGAAAAGGAGGATTTCTTGTCAAAGAATGAAGAGGAATCTGATCAATACTGCCAGAAAGAACTGAGAGAACTTTCAAAACCATTAATGGAAAGCACTTTAGCAGGAACATTCTGGATGCCTGGAGGGCACCAGCTATACATGGATACACGAAAACAGATTGAAGAGGACTATAGGAAGGTGCCTAGGAAAGGAGTCAAGGTGAGGCCAGCGGGAACTGGGGAAGTCTAGAGAATAATATCAAGGGCTCTCATGAGCCAGTTGTGAGTAATAAAGAAATAGGAGAATAGCACAAAATGTTCACAAGCCTCCCCAGGGTAGGAGATCTGAACCAGGCCTCCTGCATGCAAGGACTGTACTACATCTGTGGATGACACCCAGAAGCCCACTTGTCACTATAATGCTTTGCTGACTGTATATCTCTGAGAATAAAAAGTTCATTCCTAAAGAAACTGTAAGTAGTTCAGGAATCCAAGAGGAAGAAAGAAAAAAATCAGTCATTTCATCCGCCAAGAAGATGATTTTCAATGTGCTTAGTGCTCTTAGTGCCAGATATTTTCATGGATCAGTTAGATGTTTTCCTCTGCAGCCTGATCAAAATAAGAGAGACAAGATCAACTAAGTAGAGATGTGCTTATTCTGTGGTATAACTTATGAAACAGTGAAAAGGGAGATATAGGTGGGGGTAGCAGACCTCATAGTCCACTACTACCATGTATTAAATTGATATTGGTGATAAATTTAGTGAGAAATTCTTTCTCAAGTGTTTTTTTTTTATTTTTTAAAGAAAGAACAAATTAGAATTAAAACAGAAAGAGTATAAGTGATACAGATTTTCACTTAACAAAGTAATATAAATTTCACAGTATTTGTTGACTTCAATCTCCAAATAGCTGTAAGTAGTATATATTTGTACAGTGGATCCTTGATACTACTGAACTGGAAGTCCTAGCAGATTAAAGCAACACAGGACTGAGCCTGAATTTCTTGTTGAAAGACAAATGTATGAATGTGTCAAAGATTGTGGATTTTGTAAATGCTCTTGAATCTCACTGGCTGGAACCTAGAGCAGGTGCAGCACGGAGACCTGGGAGATGGTTCAGGGGAAGGAAATGAGATACCACATAGGCTTGCAGAGTCTCTGGTTACACTGAGAAGCTTGATATGTTTATAGAGAGCCACTAAAAATGTAATCATGATGCAACATGATATACATATATTCACTTTGTGTAAATATTCGCTCTATGGAAAGTGTTTAATTCCTTCTTGTCTCCACAGGCAGGAGAGGTCTTCCAAAAGTTTTTGCAGTCCCAGGCAACAATAGAAGAATCCATCCTGCAGTCAGATAAAGCTCTTACTGATGGCGAAAAGGCCATAGCAGGTATGCAAAGCAGATGAGCTCCGAGGAATGAGCAGATTCCTGTAGTGACTCTGAGTGATCCCACAAGTTGTTCTATGAAGTTGTAGCATCCTCTCTCTGAGAAGCGCATGCTCTGATGAAAGGGAGAAGAACATGATGGAATTTAGGGTGCTTTAGCTACAGAGACAAGGCCTTTCTCATCACCTTCTAAACTGCACTGTAAAGAGCCAGCCAAATAGCTCAGTGGATTACAACACCTGCAAGCAGGCACAGGGGCCACAGGTTCAATCCCCAGGCCTCTCATGCTGCACCCGCCTTCGGGGCACATTGAGATGGCAATTGAGATTGGGGGTAGTGGTGCACCCCTGTAATTCCAGCTCTTGGTAGGCTGTAAATAAGTGGATCACTATGATTCGGAACTAGTAATGAGACCCTGAACAATCCTATAGACCCTTCCCGAAAATACAAAATAAATAAATAAGTAAATAGGAAAAAAAAAAAAAACAACACCCAACTATGCTGCTTTGGATGGTGTGGGCTTGCAAGAATTCTGTGATTTCTTTTCAGATTTGATCTTATGTCTGAGCTCAGGAGGGCAGAAATTAGCTTTCAATTTTGTGTTTTTTCCCTTCTCTGAACCTTACCTGGAGCAGCTGAGATGGCCAAGAAAGAAGCAGCTGAGAGGAAACAAGAAATTGTAAACCAGGAAAAACAGGAGGAAGAGCAGAAGAAGGCAGCTCAAGAGAGGTCTCTGAAGGAAAATGTGGTACAGTTGGCAAAGAAGCTGAAGGTGGAGAAAGAGAACATCCTGGGAGATCAGAAAAAAATTTTGCACCAAAGACTGCAGGTGGGTGTGGCCCTTCTCAGTAACTCTGAGGGCATTTGTGCATTAGCAGGATGCGGAATGTTGTGGCCAGATCATGGAAAGGGGCACCAGAGCCATTTGGTGCTGGAAATTCATCCAGGGTGGAATCCCTTCATTTGTTTGTTTGAATCCTGCTTTGGATTCTCTCCATTTTTATTTGCATATTTGATATGGGGCCTCACTATGCAGCTTAGACTTGTAGTGATCCTCCTATTTCAGCCTAGCCAGTGCTGGGATTTCAGGTGCAAACCAGCATGCCTGGATTCAGTGGCCAGAACACTGTGTCCAGAGTGGTGACAGCATGGCATGTGGTGCTGGAATTGAGCCTAGGTCCTTGCACTTGCCAGGCAGCAGCTTAGACCACTGAGCTATCTCTGCAGCCTCTTGCTCCATTTTATACTCTGAAAATTCAGCTTATCTTAACTCCTATTTTTCCTTGGAGATTATGAAAAGCATTTGTGTTTGGAAAGTTAATAAAATGATCTCACATGGGATTAATTAAGCAGGACCTGAGTACACAGAATTTTGAGATATTTAGTTAGTGTCAGTCCCAACTGTTTTCCATTAACAATGCCCATAATATCAGAAGTCTTATAGTCTCCAAAGACCCTGAACTAGATCCATTTTGACATAAAAGTATCAGAAATGTCATACTTAAAAGCTCATGAAGTGATAACCTATACAAAACTACTGTAGTTGTCTCCAGGTAGCCTCGTGAGTTTCCAGTAGGTGGGATAAAATCTCCAACATTTCCTAGTGGACAGGCTCCAAGGCTGACACAGCACGGGACAGGGCCTTGGCAAAAGAAACAGTGACCAAACTGTGTTAGGAAGCAGACATGACGACATGAACTGAGGACAAGAATAGTCCCCTCCTGGTTATACCCCAGCGACCCACCTCCTCCCAGGCCCCATAGACTAACAGCAGCAATCTGCCCACGGAGATAATAAATTGTAAATGCCCCGGAGAGCACAGTGCTCTGATGATCCAGTCTAATTCCAAGCACATGAGTATTTGGGAAGAGTTTTCAGATCTAAACCATAGCTCCACATGTGGATGGCCAGCCTGAGTTAGCATATGGCACCAAAGCAACTCTGCTCTTAACCATGTTGGCATTGTACAACACATTTTAGATGAGTTCTAATGCTCACCATGATGTGGTGATCATACTGTCCAAGAGAAATGGAGATTCTGTGTCACAGAACAATAGAATATTTTGGCAAGTATGTAAAATTTTTTTTCTCATACCTCAGCACAGGAAAAATGAATAGTGAATAAATAATAATAAGGAAAATCTATGCTTCTTCTTCACCAAATCTTGTCCCATTAGGATAATATTGTTTGTCGCTAATTTATTTCACATGTGAGTGCAGAAATACTTTAGGTGTAATTTAAATACAGTTTTCTAAGTTTTATTTAAAGTGTAATTCTTAAGATATAAGTATTGTAAAAATGTTTTTGCTTATCAAATTTTATTCATTTATTTTAGTTGCAAAGAGATTTTCATGAAGAAGGATTCATGGGGAAAGCTGAGGCAATGCATGAGGAGATAAATAACTTGAAGAAAATGATTGAAACTATGGAAAAGGATGATGATCTGTTTGAGCAATCCTTGACTGATCTTGGAAATGCAATAGTTTCACTAGTGTGTGCTCCTGCTGTGTTAGTTACAGTAACTGTAAAAAGAGTCTGTTCATTGTTTACATAAATTAGGAGTAATTTTAAGGAAATGAAAGATTTTGAGTGTATACTCTGGTTTATTTTTGGTGCACATGATGTTTATTTGCATTTAGCAAGTTTTAAACAAACTGTTCTAATTGGAATCTGTTAGTGTCTGGCCCACGTTGAATAGAACAAATGCATGCACCTATTGAATGACATTGTTATCTCTTGCAAGACAAATGCTTTCAATAATACACACACACACACACACACACACACACACACACACACAGAAGAGGTCCAATGGCTTTTTCTTTCAGTGGGAAAAATTGAAACTTGAATATAATATAAGATTCAAAATGTAAATTTTTGTAAGGTACATATTGGAATGCAGGTTATAAAAACACAAGGGAAGTCTATTAAGCCAAATATAAAATTGTGTTGGTATATTGTAAAAATAAAATAAAA